CTCCAAGTGGATAGACATTGACCAAGTGTGAGCCAGCAACGCCTTGGGTTTGGCATATCATTTGGAGGGTAACCTGGGGGAAAACCCTTGGTCTCGCACAGGACCCACCCCTTGTTGTCACTCTGTTGGTCTCTGGAGGAGTCTGGAAAGGAAGAGGAGACACAGGAAGTGATGGGAGTCTGCTAGGGCTTTGGAAGCCCCGCCTGGTCTCATCCTGGGGACACAATGAGTCCCAGATATGGGGAGCACACCGGACTTGCCTTGTGGGCAGTCCGCCCCCTTTCCCACCTGGACCCCAGACTCTTCCCAGAGCCCTGCTCTCCCGCCTCTGCCTCCGCCGGCACAAGTGGCTCCTCAAGTTCTTGGACACACCAGGCTATTCTGTGACTGCTGCCCCTCTCAGATCTCCCTGTGGCTCCCTCACTACCTGTCCCCCCAGTCAACAAGTAACAACAGACACACCCATCCACTCTTCTGCCTGGGGACCTTGGGGCACCCCCTGCGCACCTACTCTGCACGGCAGAGAGAGTAAAACGGGAAGATAGTTCAAGCTGGTGCCATCCTTGTGTGTTGGATTAGAAGACGATCCCTAGGTCAGAGAGTACTTCAACTCAGGGCTCCATGGCTCACCCCAGTCCCCTCTCCCCAGAAACAGGCCTGCATGCTGATCCGCAACCTGGTGGCTCGCAGCCAGGCCTTCTCCCAGCCCATCCTGGACCTGGGGGCCGAGGCGCTCATCTCCCAGGCCCGCGCCGCTCACCGTGACTGCGAGGATGTGGCCAAGGCCGCCCTGCGGGACCTGGGCTGTCGTGTGAACCTATGTGAGCTGTGGACAGGCCAGAAGGGTGACTTGGCACTGTGACTCGCTCAACTGCTGGGACTTGGTGAGTAGGGGGCTGCAACAAGTGAGGCCACCCGGTGCTGAATGCCACAGCCAGGCCAGAGGTGCAGCCGACAGCACAGCTGGGAGAAGTGCCCGGTTCTGGGTGCCCCACCCACTTTCCCAGCCTTTCTTCCCAGCAAGACTTGTACAGCGTGGTGGTCAGGAAGAGGCACCCATTTCTGGTCG